TGGATAATCCGATAATTCATTAAAGTTTCAAACTCATCAAATTATGAAATGAAAAATACAAAGAATAGGCTATCCACACAAATTTCTAAATTATCAGAAAAAATAGTTAAATATGAAGATGTATTATATAATTAAAATAAAATAATTTTAATTCATACTTCCAGGCAATCTTGATTAATTTTTGCAGTAAGTACATAGTGGAATCCACAATTATGTAGTTGTGTAATCAAATCAATTGTTGATACTATAGTTACCCTTAGACCTTCAGCTGTATTTGAACTAAGAAACTCATCATCTTTTATAAGTTTTTTGTTTAAATTAGACTCCCATTCATTTAATAATTTTAATACCTTAAATGAATTATCAAACACAGACTACAGTCATGAGATTTCGTTTACAAAATAATACATAAACACAACATTGTCATATAATTATTATATAGATAGAGCATGAGAGCAGTGATTCGTGATAATAATAATTAAGTTACTTATTAACTCAATTATATTATATTTATATTTATTATTGAAAATTCAATAATTTAATATTACGGCGGGAAATGGGAATTTTTTAATACTGTAGTTCCAATTACGGATTTAGATATTTCTATCTAAAGCCGTGGTTCCAATTAACAACCACCAGGAGCGTTAGTAGTAAATAGTAGTTCACTTTTTCGTATGTTAGATAAGAACTCTCGTACACCGCGTTCTAACATTGCGTAGTATAGCCCGATGTGCAACCATTTTATCTAAAGCCGTGGTTAGCAGTATTAGTTTAACCCTTAGATCATATACACTGGATAGCGCTATGGTTTAAAATCTTGAAGCATAGCTGTTCGTGCCCGAAGTCATCACTGCGCATGAGCAATGTATATGATCTAAGCATTCAGTACCTAATCGTCCTTATCGCAATAACACATTATTGTTCCTTCCCCGTCCCGCGCGATCTATTTCATTTCTCACGCATGCGCAATAAGTACTTCGGGCATGAACCGGTCTGCTTCAAACACGGACTACGCGTGATATACGTTATAGCAGCTGCTCTATCCAGTGTATATGATCTAAGGTTTGACCAGAAAAAAAGAATTGTACATTTTTGTTATGTGCATGGGTACACCGGTTTTCCAACAAATTGAACAGATTTTTGAGTTCTCACCGTATGTCTCTTCTGGTTATTTTGTAATTTTACTAAGCAGATAGTGTGCATATCATTGTTGGCTAAGAATTTATCAATGGAGGGATTGGTAGAAGGTAGGTATGGAGAGGAAATTGACGTACTTGTCCTAAAATTTCATGGAGGAAAAAATGATTACCATGTATACCAGTGATTCAGCAGTGCCGCCAATTATTTATAAAAAAACGAAAATATCCCTCAAATTGCTATGCACCCATAGATCTATAAAAAAATCGACTAACAATGCCCTTTACCCATACATTACTTCAAAAAAGACTATATTGTTAGAAAGATATATATATATATATATATATGTATCTGAAAGAGATAAAGTATAAAGAGATATATTTAGAAAATTTTAGAAGAAAAAAACTATGTATCATGGAATAATGAGCAAATTTTGTACTTGGTGATCAGTGGATAAATGATTTGTGCTTTAATGATATATTGATATCTTCTTTTATGTTTAATCTCTTTCTAACGATTTTGGGTCCAGTACTTCTCTTTCTACCAGTAGTCCATTTTTGTACACGTCCATGGACCTTTTACTAATAGACGGAACATCCATGGATTGGATGGTGCGGCGGTGAAAATTTGTGTTACATTTATGTGTTATGTGTATTATTTATAGTTACAGTTTATTCTATCATCTAGTGCGCATGTGCGGTGATCAGTGCCGTCACGCGTGGACGCCGGAACTACAACCACGTCCCATCTATAAGTATAACGTATATGTATAGATTATGGCAACACTTCAACTTGATCACAGGGTAACCGCTATATAACCACTTATTTTCTAATCCATGAAATTTTGGGACAAATGTCCCAAAGACAATGGCAACTCGGCTCACCCCCTCCCCCACCTAATCGTTTCCAGTCCGATCAGCTCTCTAGTCTCTATCTTAGCTTTTGCTTTCAGATGAGGATTCCGTGTTATATTTTGCTTTTTTGAAAAGAATGAAACAGTGTTTCCTATTTTTTCTTTTATAAATGCGTTGGTTTTTAAATAGCAATTATTGCTCCAATAACAATCAGCAATGAAAATGTTATCAATATACGGTTGATGCATATTCGTTTCATTCATCTTCACAAGTGTCATAAGATGTCGTCTTAGTAATACTAATCTGCCAGGTATTTATGTTAGTATTAAATAATAAATAGTATTAGTATAGTTTCTAGGATTTCATAGCCCGTAACAGTATAAAAAAAGTTAAGGGGATCAGTGGCGGTGACGACTGTCTTTGTCTAACACACGCGTGACATAAGAATTCAGATGTGTTTTTCGGCAAACGTACCGATCAATAAAATGAAGCAATAAGAATTCTGAAAACAGATTTGAATTTTTCGTCAAGTCTACTCGGGATCGGTCAGTCTACATTTTTGATTTTAGATTCTGAGTGAAACGATGAATGTTTTTTTATTTTTAATTTTAATTTTTTTTTTATTGTTTCACTCAGAATCTAAAATCAAAAATGTAGACTCACCGATCTCAAGGAGACTCTACGACAAATTCAAATCTGTTTTCAGAATTCTTATCGCTTCACTTTATCAATCGGTACGTTTGCCGAAAAACACCTCTGAATTCTTATGTTGCGCGTGTGTTAGACAAAGACAGTCGTCACCGCCACCGATCCCCTTAAATTCATATATAATTTACATAAAACGTATTTATTTCTACACCGAGAATGGTGAAAATTTTACTTTTAAGCACAGAGAATCTTGATAATATTATAAACAGCATGAATATTAAGGGAAGGACACAGCCGGCCGGAACGAAAATATTTAATTCAAAATTGAATGATTTCATTTTTCCGTTTAAGGAACTTATTGGTATTTTATAATCTAAATGGCGAAACTTATGAATAATTACTATAGAATGTTTTCTTAATCCCAAATTGTCCTCGATCGAATAAATGTGTTTCTAAGAATTTACGTTATAGGACTTTTATACTAAAAGATAATAAAATAAAATAATATCTATAATATTATAATGAAATAAAATTGTTATTAAAAGATACTTTCGAATTTTATGTTAAATATATTTCAACAATATAGTATCAACATTTCTTATTTAAATGTTGTTAATAAACTCCTATTTATATGTGCATTCATATGTACAATTTGAAAGTATTTTTTAAAAACAATTATATTACTTTGTCTAGAAGTCGTATATTTTTTGATACACGTATTATTCGATCGAGGACAAAAAAAAATGTCCTATAGTAATTATCCATAAGTTTCGCCCTAAAGATAATAATAATAGAAAGCAAATAAATTCGATGACTTTATGTTATGTAAAAACGACATCACCTCTGCCGACGCGCATTCTGGCGGATTCCATAATTCCGAACCTTTTTATATGCATTACGCCAGCGGTTCTCATACTTTTTTGTTCGCGGAGCCCCAATGTTCTTTAAAAATAATTACGGAGTCCCAAAATTCAGAAATGTTGAGGCAACAACAACTCATAAAAAATGATGTTAATTATAAAAAATATGAGGATTTATAAATAGTTTACAGTTTTAAACGTTTAAAATAATACATATTGGCACGGTTCAAATAATATTGAATTCAAGTATAAAAATTAAAAGTGTAACTAAGAAATATAATAATAATTTAATAATTTTAATTTGATTAATACAGAAAATATATGCCCAGGGAGCCACAGAGTTCCTAGACTACTCTCGCGGAGCACAGCTTGAGAACCCCTGCATTACGCGATACGAACACGATCTAAGATATCTTAATTCGTAATAATATGTATGTAGTTCAGCATCCTTTCTCTAAATATTTTCAAGATAAAATTATAGATAGTTCTACCTTGGTGAAGAATTAATGTGATTTTAATTTTTAATGTTTTAATTTTTTAATCAGTATATTATCATATCATTATTAAAATAATTATTTGGTATCTTGATTTATGGTGTATACGGGTGTTAATCGTAAATAATATAATTTAATTAAAGCCTTACATTAAATTAGAAAAAAAAATTTAGTTAAATTCTTATATTATCTATGATGTTATAATCATAAATATATACCATAACTAGATAACTGCATTAATATAATATAATATAATATTACTCTATGGATAGCAGCTGTGGTCTCCTTTTTATCATTCAAGATTTTCAAGAAGAAAAATTTGATACGTATCGATACGTACCACCTCGTATCGAAGTCCGAGTCCGATACGGGTCGGTACGTATCGCTTGTATACTGCACGTGTAACTTCTTGAACGCTCAAAATTGCCTCGATACGTATCGATACACTCCAAATTCTTCCTTGAAAATCTTGATTGATGTCGGTCGCCATTTACAAAGCAGGCAAGGTTTACAAACCAATTTTATCACAATATATATATATATATATACATATATAAATATTAAAATATGCATATAAATAAATGTAAGCATTGTCTGCTCTATAAATGGAGGCCGACTTCAACACCGGTCACAGCGATAATAATAGATTGTTCCGTGATAATAGGCATAAAGACGGCTATCTAGTGACACTGAGATAGATAAGAATAATATACTATATCCTTATCTACCTCAGTGTCTTGACTGGGTCTAGTTGTATATACCTATGGTTAGAATATGTGGTGACGTGGTGTTTATGGATCAGCAAAAGAGGTTGGCTACACTGGAAAATGGAAATTGCATTGTCTTGACCACGACTGCTACTAAATAACATTTTATTACTTTAGCATAATATCTAACATTTTTATCCATGCTCTGCACTGCACTTCTAACCACCAATCACCATCGCTCGTTCCATAACTAAGGTGACAATCAGCTGCAACTTACTATTGGAATTTTTAACTGCGCAGTAGTAAAATGTTACGACTCAGAATGCGTTGTTTGTGATACACTGTCTTCACTTTTCTGCATTTCAGCGTTCAGTACAGGACAGTACTTCACTACTTCAGTCTGAAGATATCAGTCGACGGTTCGACCCGTCTTAACTTTCACCAGTCCACCCTCCGCAGTCTGTATATCGTCATCGAATATTGAAATTTCTTCGGATTTCGAGATTTGGTTTTTTGATAATAGACACCTATACTACTCGATACTCTGCCTGTTAGATTAAGCGCAAGGTCACTTGAACTATATCATCTAAGTTTATGCTCCGTAAGTAGTATTTGATCGCCTTTTTGTTTATATGACACTGACACATAGTATTGGTTTGTCATTTTAACATAATTTTCTTTTTTTAGTGATCGATCCGACATTCCCTGTTCACCGTTTAATTTAATTACAGTGCAGTGTGCACTTGAATTCGTTCAATTGCTAAAATGAATCCTAATCAGCCTAATGCCGGAGCTCCTGGTCCTGGTACTATAAACAAATATATTTTTCCAAGCATTGCATCATTTGTAATAATTTTGCTTTACAGGTACCCCAGGAAAGAAAAAACAGAAAAAAGGTAAAAACAGTTAAGATTAACTTGATAGATGTTTCATCTAGAATATGAATTGAATGATCCATAGATCCATTAAATATGTTAAGAGGACTCTAAAAATTTGAGTGATTCAAACTATTATGAAACATGACAGTAAAAACATTATCTGTGTTTGTAAGTGATATTTTACTAGAATTCAATTTTTTAGCAAGTTAAACGTATAAAATACTGTGTAAATTAAAAATGCTCATAACTCACTTAGAAACTGAATCCTTAAAAAAAATGCACATACCAACATAGATATTCTTACCATCAAGTTTCATAATAATTTAATTAACTAATTCTTAAACTAACAGAGCTAAATGCGGTCTGCTGAGCGTAAATTGTTTACATCACGCATTTGTAAGACGGAGGCAACAAATGGTTGTGTAGCGTCATCTTGAACAAAATATCTGTAAAGCTAGGTAAAGTTTTCAGTTCGGAATAGATACTAAAACTAAACACATCAAAACTGTTATGTGTTATACCATAGATACTAATCTAGAGCAATTTTCATGACAGAAATAATTTTTATAAAATTATGTAATGCGTTACTTTTCTTGAGTTACCACACAACATTGAAGATATGACAGTACTAAACTGAATGAGTCGATCAAATTCTATCATGAATTCATGACACTAATTGTTTGCAGTGCTTAAACCATTGAAAAAAATGGTGGGCATTGCTATACAACAGTAAGTGTCAAGTGGGTCAGTGTAATAAGTTTATTGAATTTAAATTCAAAAATTTATTATTATAAACAATGATAACCAACTGAGAGGAGACGGTCTGTCAGCCTTAATCAAGTATATTTTATCAAATTTTTTTGAAGTGAATACTTGATAGGATCCAGAGGCGCCGAAGTGTTAAAAAATACTATGACATCATAAACCCAGAGGCCGCTCCTGGAGCTTGGGCCCCCAATTTTTTTTTTCAATGTAACAATTGAATGCGAAACAAACTACCCACATAACTACATATTTAGTGTATAACCATTTTTTTTTTTCATTTATTAGCTGAAAAAATATTTGATTAATCCGTTTAAACATATGTAAGCTATTACCTAGCGACTAGGCTGTGACCCACCCATTTTAGATAACCCATATGAAATTGAGAACTAATTAGTTATTATTATCATTTAAATATTCATAATACAAAATAGCATAACACAATAATTACCAAAATACTACATAGATAATCAAGCTTTTATTTAATTAAAAGTTAAAATCTTATAAAATTAATGATTTAATCAATACACTACTTTTTTGTGCAAAAATATCTACTACTAAATCTTTATCAATCACAATGTCATTCTCAAAAGAAATTTTAACTACGCCTTCTAGGCGGTCTTCAGATGTCCCAGGATCACAACCGGGCCCCAGTAACCCTTGGTGGGCCCCTCCCAGGTATAAAATCTACTATGACATATGTCATAGATAAATTAGGTGATCGGCGCCACTGACAGGATCTGTGGCAGCAGACTGTCCTTATTTTTACATTTTGAACTTGAATATTAATGCAACTAAATATAATTATAAAAATGTGCCTCGATTGATCTTTGTAAATTATGTGAAAATTAAGGTAATTGTCGAAATTTAAACTTAAGACATATAAAAAAAAATCATCCCTATGTATCTTAAATCTTTTTAAATGTCTATTGAAGCTCACGTCTACAATAGCTCAAAAAAGTCTAGAAAATAATATTATATATATTGAGTGACCATTTCCAGTATCTAAGATTAGTTGTTTTTGAAATACAATAAAATATTCAAAACAATTTGAACTGTTAACACTATTAGAAAATTGATGTGGCATTTATTTGTTTATTTAGGTAGATAATTATATGATGAATCTTAATGAATCAAATTTAATTCATTTAAATTTTGAAATCTTGTAAATAAAAATAAAATTGTTCTCATGTTTTTGACAAACTTCATCAATTTTCTAACTTCAGACGCTCAGAATAAATTATTCTGGATTTATGCTCATCTTTTTTTTAAAAAAAATACTCTTATATAAATTTTCAATTTTAATAATTAATGTAATTATAACCACATTTTGTACATTCTTTATTTTAAAAGGTCATCAACAAGATAATTCAAATATTAATGTTGGAGAAGGTAAAGGACCATCAAATCCAGGTAATTGATTAAATTGTTGTAATTTATGATAAGACCTGACTTTTTAAAAGACATTTACTTAATTTTAAATTGTCTCCATTCATCCATGAAAAAAATCATCCACCTATAAAAAAATGTCTATAAGTTATAACCAGGGCTCGTAATTCCATACACTAAAAAATGCATAGATAAGCATGCATTTATGCACTAAAAATTGGCAAAATAAGCTCTAAAAAATTCGAAAAAAATAAGCATTTATATGCCTTAACATTTCTAAATCATGCACTCAAAATATGCATTATGTAAAAAATTCATGAGCGAATATTAAAATAATAAGAATTAACCCATTGATTTTAAAAGTATTTTATTCCTTTTAATTTTTATACATTTAACAATCAAAATTAATACTTGTGAAGTTCATAAAACCATATGGCTTTGTCATGATTATCAATTTTAATTAGGTAGTAATTTTCTGTTTAATTTTTGAGCACCATTATCCAGCACCTACAATGAAAACATTTGGAATGAAATATTAGGTATTTAAAATTTTCATGACTCGTACAATTAAACAACTCATCGCCAACTGGCCAGTGCAAGAAAACTACGCTGTACCAATGTACAAAATTATAGATGTGGGTTGGTAAGAAACATTGCACACGTGTACATGCCTGTATAGGTATCTTTTTGACAACGGACTTTGTATGGCCGAGGATAGTAGTGGTAGAGGTAACATTATTTCCGCGGTACTGAGTAAAATCTAAATAGGAAAGTATACTAGGTAGTCACACGAGAATAAAAATAAATCAAAACACTATCATTCAGTAAACGAAAAAGTAAACAGGAAACTTTTCAAATATTTGTCTAAAAAATTTTTTATGCAATATATATGGTTATAAATCCTAAAAAAACGATTATATGCCAAATATGCCTTTACACCAAAAACATGCACTTTTAAACTTTATATTCTTAATACTATCGTTATGAAACATTTGTATCTCAGTTAGCATGTTTTCTTGTGTAGCAAAAAAAGAACATGCTGATGCATGAACTTACGATCCCTGGTTATAACCCATATGATAATTGTGGTATCTAGGTTACTTTGAAAGTTTTAATACCTAATACCAAATTTGTATTGGACAATTTTCAAGATAATGTCAATTAATCCTTTTTGTTAGCACAATGTTCTTTAATCTTTATCTGTAGTGTGATTAGTGTGATTACAATTTCAGGTAACATTAAATATTTTGGTCAGATGAGCTTGTATTGAAATGAGTTTTTGTGTACTGAAATACTCATTTGTGAAGTATTCACTTTTTCAACACTTGATGCTCAATACAACATGTATGGTAACACCTATTTTTAGCACATGATTTGGATTGATCGTATTTGTTTATGCCTATTTGACCTAATAACACTGCATCCTAAGTTCAAAGTGGTACCAATAACTATCATTACCCAAATTTTAAGAAAAAACTATTTACTTTACCTGTAACAACTTAATTTTTTTAATTTGAAGTAATTGTATTTTATCTTATTAAATAGTCTAACGTGTTGATACAATAGTTTTCACCTCCCTTTGGACTACTATGTTTTATAATTAATTTCTGGACATCAATTTATAAAAAAAAAAAATGATTATTGTGCTACATTTTTTTATGTTTATTTAACTGTACTTATATAAATAATAACAATATTCACTTCTACTATACTACTACAAATAATAATAATAATTAGTGCCTGGAATGTAATTCTCTTATTAAATACTCAAGCTATGTGCTTAAAAAAAAACAATTTTATACTTATTTATACTTTTTTTTATTTTTTACTATACAAATATTTTATAAAATTGTTAATAGTTAGTCCAGAATTATTATTTGTTGGAAAATTAAATTGGACAGATCCTTATGAAATACATATTTCCTTAGCAACATGTTCAAGTGATGACAATGAGTTAGCTCGTATGTAAGCTTAGTACAGCTTAGTAAGCCTGTACTTCTGTTATGTCATCAAACATATTTGCTTTACACTTTTGTTGGATATTGTTATTTTTCTACTAAAATTTGACTCTTGTTAAAGTGGTAGAACATACTGTAGGGCAGATGATATCTCTCTGTGTATTGTTCAGCATTCATCCTAGCAGATATGTAATAATACATTATAATAGCATTTGCTACAAATTAAAATCAATACAATTTTTTCAGCTTTATTTATATTGATAATAATTTATGTTATCACTCATGAAAAGAGTAATCATACACTTATATCAACGCCCAAACTAAGAATACTGATATAAAGTTAAACACAAAAAAATTTATATTTAAGTATTAAAACATTTTTATTCATAATTCAATGTCCAGAATTAATTATTAAAATTAAAAACATATTTGTCCTAAAGAGAGTGAAGGGTTTGTATCAATGTGTTATTAAATTAAATAAGAAAAAATAAAATTACTTGAAAAAATTGTTGATATCAGATAACATAAAACTCTGAAAAAACTTCTTTTTTTTTAAATTTGAGTGATGATAAATATTGTGTTTTAATAATTCATGGTGATGACTCATCAGTTTTATGAAAGATACTTTCTAAATGTATTCAAGTACAGATACAGATAGTTATTTTGAAAAGTGATCTAAAATATATATTTGAATACTCAGCAAAAATAGTATTTGAGTACTGGTCTAGGTTGGTCCGGCTAGTTACTGAGTAAAAGTCGGTGGGCTGCAACAATTTTGGGCTATTCAATTTAAACTACCTTTAAAACATGTTGTCAACTTATATAATGTAGCAAAGTAGTATTTTACTCGTTGTGTTTGTACGGAAAATATTGTTTAGAAAAAATAGGTTGAAAAATTTGGGTTGAGGGCTTCCAATTTGTAAATTAGCTAGTAAAGTATGGAAAACTTGGAGGGCCAAATTGGTCCCATCTTGCCCTGTTTGAGTACAAATAATAATACTTTAAAAATGTATTTATAGATACTTTCAAATTTTATAAATAATAAATTTTTTTACCTTATAAATCAAGTTTATTTAATCAACTGAATCTGATTTTCATGTTGTATGTTAATTTTTTGTAGCATGTATTTTACACCACATCATTTAGCTTTAAAATACTCAAATTTAGTCAATCCAAATTATGTGCTAAAAATAGGTGTTATGGACAATAAAAAAAATTTGTATTGTACATGCTCCCCCGAGTGTTAAAAGTTTGAATATTTCATAATGTGTGTTTCAGTGCCTACCTAAAAACTCATTTCATTACGAGGTCATCTGGCCAAAAAATTAGTGTTACCTGAAATTGTGATCATACTGTACCTATATAAAATAACCTAAATAATTAAATGAATAGGACCAAAAGACTTTCCACAAATGTCTCAAAGTAAGCCAGATACAAAACAGGAGTTTACAAAAAAACAAAATAAACCAAAGGAAACTAAACAACAGCAAGCCCAGAAACAAAACCAACCAACAGCGAGTAAACCACCAGGTAAGGCTCAAGAGTCATGAATATTCCCCAAAATAATTTGAAGGAAACATATGGTAGTAAAGTAGAAAAGGTACTGGTTTTTATCACTCCCTGGCATGTGAAAATTCTAATAGTCCGCAGTGCCGGCACTACATATTTCGGGGCCCTGGGCAACATTTTTGGCGGGGCCCTTGATGATTATGGAACTAGATGGTACTTTCTTAGACTTGATATTTTGTTTTATTTAAGAGCTAACAATCTTTAGACACTTTTCAGTTTTCAGATACCAATTACCAGTAGTGATATATTTTATTATTCTTAATTGTGAGGATAGATACAATTTATTAGATATCAATATATCATCAAAATTAAAACATACACATGAAGCTTATAGCAAAATAAATCATACAAAAAAAAAGTTAGCTACATAAAAAAATATATTTATATATTCATGTGTCAATGTAAGTAGTGAGTAAATTTAATTATAATACAATAAATAATTAAAGGGTATTCGTATTTTGCTTTTAATAAAATATATAAAACATCAAATGTGTACATATATAAATATAGGTTAGAATAATTAAAATAATTTTTTCATAGATTTTGATGCAGAAAAGTCATCTATAATTTTATCATAATTGATTGTATCCGATATTGCTTTTTCAATAGATATCATAGATAACCCACAAAGCCTTTCTTGGCTGATCCTATTGCGGAGATAATTTTTTATAATTTTTAGCTTAGAAAAACTTCTTTCTGCGCTGGATGATGTGACTGGAATGGTAAGAAGTATCCGAAGCGTAACATTAATATTTGGAAATGAACCATTGGAATTTTTAACAATTGAAAGTACTTCGAGAGGAGTTTGGTTTTCAGTAACAAACAATCTAAAAATTATTAATTATGCATATAAATCTAATGCATCAATATCTTTTGATTCTCCATCAGTTAAGCGATTTTGAAGATCCATGCAATGTTTTAATAGATCTGTATTGGCCATGTTGGTCAATTTTCCAATTCGAAATAAGAAACCAAAGTCATCTTTATAAGATTCAAGTTGTTTAAAGCGGGTTTCCATTGAACTTATACCTTGATCAACAATATAAAAAAAATATTCTTGTCGAAAAATAGCCTCCGCATCATTTACTATATCATCGTCGCCTTCATAACTGAACATTTTCTTTTTTTTTTTAAACTACGTATTTTATAATTTGTATCAATATCATTTTCTTCGCAAATTTCTTTTACAGCTATAACAGAGTTTTCAAATCCTGTTTGTCTAAATGATTTTAAAAAAATTAAAAGACTGCAACATATTAGTTAAGATGTCTATATCAATATTTTTACCTAGCAAACTTTTGCTAACAACATTCACTTCTACTAAAATACTGTACCATATAGTTAAACTTAGAATAAATTCAAATGTACTGATTTCATTTGCCAATGACTGAGCTTCACTTCTTGTCATTGTGTCACTTGCCTCTCTTGATACTTCTTCCATATGATATTTGGTAGCTGATAACGAAGGGCTTTTACACTGTACACACTACACACTAGTCGACTTGTATCTTGTACAAGTACAATGTACACATCACAAGCTACACGGCTATCGCTAGACAGATAAATGACAATAAGGTATATTACAACATAAACAATTAATAACGATAACACGAGTAAACGACAGCTTAAGGTTTTTTGGTTTTCAAATTATTTTTAAAGTTGTAAATGTGATCATCTAATGACTTACGAGTTATTGCAATATTGCCGTTTTCTTTTGTTATTATTGACCGAGGTGTTGTATTTACTACCTATCGTAGTATTTTCAATTCGGTAATCGGTTTAGGAGGCTGCATTAATTATTTACAAAAAATTATTCTAAAGTCGCGTGCCATAAATTAAATGATTTCTTTTTCTCTGTAATAATAAAATTATGAAAAACAAATAAGGTGACATGAGGGCCCGGGGCCCGGGCATTTGCACGGAGTGCCCCCCCCCCCTAGTGCCGTCACTGATAGTCCGATACCCTGATTTGTCATCTCCCTGTCGTTCATATTCCATAATAATAATAAATTAATTACAAATATTATATCGGTGATGATTTTTTTTTATTAAATACTTCCCAAAATTTTAAATATAGATAATAATTATTAAATATTCTATAAAAGTAGGTATAATATATTAATATAAATTAATTTGTATAATAATAGATTGTTAAACAAGAAAGTTGTTGAAAGCAAACCATTTTTAATGGGTTGTATTTAGGCAATATCCTATATCCTTCCTAAGTGATGTGTGACTGTGTGCTTAGTGACTGATCATTAGTGTGCGTGAGTTCCTTGAAAGCCTTATGTAATTAAAGATAAACTACAGCTTAGATTCTTGGAAATCCGTAACATACATACCCCCATAGTCACTATATTTTTCTATCAAAAATTGTTTAAATCCTATGGCTATAGAAATACCTAAAGAAGAATTCACCTAATACTGAAATCCCAATTTTAATTTTGAAACAAATTTGAATTCCTTATTCTCTAGGTTTTGAAGATAATGGAATTTCAATTTGTTGTATTATAAAGTATTATTATAGTGCCAAATGAATTTTTTTTTTTCAAAATTCTCTTTTACTTAAAAGTTGCTAAAAAAAAAATCACTTCTTACGAAACACAATCAAGAAGTTAAGAAATTCAAATATTTTTTCAAAATGAAAATTGGACTTCTAAAAATTTATTTATTTTACTTCTGCTTATTGGTCTAAATGCACGAAAAGCAACTTGCTTCCAATAGCCTTAAGGTGATTATTATTTGGTTAGTATTGTTTAGTACCGTTTGATGTATCGGTTGGATTATTAATTTTTAAACATATTATGGGATAAATACCTTCAGGACAATATATACATTTGCATATAGTTCATTTTTTCCTGGAACCATCAACATGCATTATTATAGAGTGGCAGTGTGTTAACCAACCAGTATCGTAGAAAATATTAATGATATTACATAATATATTATATCAAATAACACCAGTAATTTACTGAGTAGGACAAAATGACTTTCCACAAATGTCTCCAAGTAAGCCAAATACAAAACAGCCGGCAAAACAAAATAAACCAAAAGAAGCAAATAAAAAACAGAATCAGCCTGCTGGGACTAAACCCAATCAAAAACAATCTGAAGGTAATATAAAAGAAGACAATGATAAAATTGATAGATAGTTATATTCTAGTTAAGAGCAAATTCCAGAATATTTCTGCTGCTTTTTGACATTTCTTATGGGACTGAACTCAATGTCAAAAATTGATTATCTATAACAGGGATAAGTTAACTGACGCCTTCTGGCCAGATACACAATTTTTATCTGGCTGGTGCTATAATTTCAAACTTAATACTCAACAGTTTAAATAAGAGACTCTGAGTAGAGTGATGAATGATTGATGAAATATGTTCTTTTTTTATTTATTTTTTGTGTCTATCATCACCTTTTAAGGACGGTAACAATTCTTAGATTTTTAACTTCAACATTTTTTTTGGTAAAAAAATGAATCTAGCTAGTTCCCCGAGGGTTCAAAAATAAAAAATTTTTTGTGTATGAAATATAATTTTATATCTACTCTTTAAGTTTCAAGTACCAAAAAGTATCTAATTTCTTCCAAATTTTAAATAAAAAGTCTTTGAAAAAAACTGTATATTTATTTTTATATTTTTTGTTTATTATATGAACTACTGATGAGAAAACTTGTTTTACATTTTTAATCCTTAGCTATAAAAGGTTAAACATTTTCTAAATTTTTATAGGAAATATAATGTTAAATTCTGTAAAAATGTGAACTTTAAATGGTTATAAAAAAATCATGCTCATTTTTAATGTTTTCAATTTCTAATATAACTACTTATAACCTTACCTTGCATTAAATGTTCAAGCTTTTTGATCCAACAAACAATTTTTTATTGACATTCATAAGAAAAATTATTAAAATTGGAAATGCCAATAAATAGGTTCAAATAATTGAAAATATTTCCAAAACGGTAGTTTAAACATTTTATTAAAAAGATCTAGTATCTACAGTTATTTTGTAGTTGAAAATGTATTAAATGTTTAATTTTTATAGCTTTGAAAATTTAAAACAATTTTTCTCATATGCAATTCATATTATAACCAGAAAATATATTAAACGGTTTTTTTTATAGGCATTTAAACCGTTCTTCATTAAATATAGATACTAATTTCTTATTTGATCTTGAACTGCAGCTAAGTGATCTGGCTGGCTACATTTTAATATTTCTAAAAATTGGCTTTCTGGTAGATTTAAGTTGCTCATCCCTGATCTATATTAATTTGATACTGAAATAGGAACAATTAGTGAATGTAAAATAAGTGAATGGCTTAGGTTATGACATCTATCTATTTTGTCATAACATTGTCAATCAACCTAATGATTTGTTTTTTTTTTGAAACATAATTGAATACAATTTTATGTTAGGCAATAATGCACCTGCTGTGCCACAATCATCTCCGACTCAAGGTAATTAAAAATAACAATTTTTAGTATATTTTTACTACTTGTATAGTTATATTGAATTTAGGCAATCAACAAATTGAACAACAAATTGTAATCTTAAAAAGTAAGTTACATATTCCTAAAAGAAGAAATCCGAAGGCTGGAGGTTCTCTGGGGCGTCAAACTGTAATTGATGTGAATCATCTTCCTCTTGACCTTGATAATTTGTTCAAAAAACTTGTCTACCATGTGGATGTACAATTCACACCAGAACTACCAAAAAGACTTCTAAGGTAATTTAATTTAACATTAAAAACATAAGTATCAGTATGTTAATTTTTGAATATTAAATACCTTCTATTCAAAAATTCATAGTTATCAGATTTGATTTGCTTGAATTATATTTAAGAAATGTGTACTTAAGATAAAAGTAAAATACTAAGTTTGATATATTAAATACTTAATTATTTTTTAGTTTAACTTCTCATACTATGTTAACTCAACCATATTTTGTATGTTTAATTATTTTTGTATTTTACTACGGAGTAAGTGATAAAATGATATTTGATATAACATATATACTGGGGATTGGCAAGATACTCAAAAATTGGTATCTTGATACATTTTAAGTATTTGGATACTTGTTACATTTGAATAAAATTAGTCACGGGTTTTTTTTAAAAACTTTATCTTTAATCATTATGTATACAGGGTGATATTTTAAGCATACTCACCCCCATTTTTCCTTTAATTGTACATTTATTCAAACTCTGATTTTTAGAAATTTTATGTAGACCATATTTTCATATTTCTGATGATTTTTATACTATACTTAAGGAGAATTCTGTGATGGACTAAACTTCTGTTTTTCTAATGAGAACCCCCATTTGTTACTAAAAATTATTTGGCTAAACTTAACTTGAAAATGTTGACATATCTAAATCAAAATTCTAATAAGTAGTTTCTGAGTTATTACAATGTTTATACTAAGCATAATAATCTTTAAAAATGGCCTTTATACAAATTAAATTTATATGTAATGTTAGATGTAATATTTTACTGTACTTGGATTATTTTTAAAAATTATTTATATTCATAAATCAATAATAATTGCTAACTTTTTCAAATTGTCTAAGCCTTCCTATCTACTTAACCCATTACCATAGACATATTATTATCCTTAAAACACAAAGTTATATAAATAAAAAACTACTAGCTTAAATTTTGATTTAAATACATCAAAATTATAAAAAAAAATATCTGCTTAATAATTAAAAATTAAAAAGGTAGGCTTATATTTAAAAAGCTGAAGTTTGTATTTTCATTGGATCATCCTTAAGTGGTGCAAAAAACTTCAATGATTTTAAAAACGGTCTTCAATTAGAGTATTTAAAAATTAAAAAAAATCAAATTTTCCTATATGTTATCTATGGGACCTATGTTATAAATGTTTAATTATATAATAATTCCCATTGCACTATATGTATTTTATTATATAACTAATGTTTTTATTATTAGTAATTCCTTTATAACATTTATCTTTCTTTATAGAAATGCTTTGGAAGAATTTAATGCAAGACATTACCCGAAAGTTAATTTTGCATTTGATGGACGAAGAAATATGTATACTATAAAAGAGATAAAAGCGGTATGTTCATTAATTTAAAAGTAAAAATATATCTTTTAGTAATATTTTTGAATGATTGATATAATGTTTCTGTTATCTGGCAGCTAACATGGTGGCATGGTGAACGAGGTTTTATGACGCCTAGGCGTTAAATGGACATTTTCTTTTTTTTGCGTTTTGGTGGAAGGGTGGTTGGGATACATTAATATAAGTAATAACATAAATAAAAAATTAAAATATTTAGTTTCATAATAATTATATTTATTGTATATTATTTTATTAATGGTATTAGAGTGAGTAGGTACTAAAAATATATACTGTGCATCATGGCTTATAAATGTTCACCACGCCACCACGTGTTTGTTGTTTTATAGTTAAGTGACAGCTTATTAGAGTTAAACAGTTTGCATTTGGCTTCATAACTTCAATTTTTAATATTCGAGTACATCTTCGCCTATAATTTAACTTAAAAAGTCATCAGCGTATCAATATGACTATTATGCTGATTACTCTTTTTGTATAATGTCAATACATTTAAGTGTGCTATTGGAGATGTGACCTTTTTGGTTATTTATTTATTATTGTAATATAAACGTAATTCAAACATTGATAAGATATAATATTACAACAGCATAGGTTTCTCTCTGATGCAAATGCACATTTGGTAGAATCATTCTTGTGTTGTTAGCTTTAACATTAGAATGAATTTACCTATCATCAAACTTAAAATGTAGAACATTATCTTTTGCGCCTAAAAAAAAAAATTGAAAATTATTAAAGTGATTTTCAATATGATTTTCTTAATACTTTCTGTTTTAATCATTTAATCATTATCATTTATAATCTATTTAATATTTTTTTAATGGTTATTAGTTTTCAACATTTTCAATGTCAATTTTGTGTATTTTTGTTTGGGTTTGTTATTTATTTATTTTATCTTGAAGTTTTTTTTCATACATTTATTAAAGTTACTTCATTATAAATTATAATAACACTTTATTAAACTACAGAGTAATATTATTTATCTTTTATTTTTATTTGTTCCTATAATACTACCCTGAGACAATGTTAAATACTATGAAAATAATAGAAACCATATTATAATGAAGTATAAATTATTTTTTAGAAATTCACTTTTAATATTTTAACATAAAATAATTGGTTTTCTGTAATATTCGTTTAATTGTATGAAGAAAATATCATGAGTATATTTTATATATGGTCCTTCAGACACTATGATTTTTGAGATGTCAGACATAAAGTGTGACTTCCATGTAAAAATAGAACTAAATTGTCTTATAACAATTTTTAGGCTAACAAACTGATGATTTTTTGAAGAAAAAAAAATATGTGATTATTTATTTATGTTATTATTTGTTTAGAAAACTGATACAGTATCAGTTTTAAATGATGAAAATAATAGAACGATTGACTTTAATATTTCAACCTCAATTGTCAATACAATTCAGATGAATAAAATTCAGGAATATTTAAAATCTGGATCGTCCAACACTCCCCCAGGTGAAGCATTTCAAGCATTGGATATTGTTTTGAAAAACCGTCCATTTTCATTAAGGTTAGTAACATATATGTAGTCTTACAGAATTACAACATAGCAAATTTTAAAGGTAAGGTTATTATCTAAGGCATCCTGGATAATAACAAACCTAGCTTTTACTTGATATTTTAATTTTGAAGCGAGTGAAGCAAATATCTTAAAATTTCAAACAGTTAACATTTATAAAATCCTTATAACTTGCTTTGTACATACATGATTCTTACCACAGTTTAGTTAAAGTTAATAATATATCAAAAATGCTGATTATCGAATTTATAGAGGAGAATATACAGTAAAGCATAGTTTATATTTTCCTCTACCAATTTGCTAATCAGTGAATTTACTTTAATATTAAATATGCAGTGTACCTTATATGTATATTATATATTTACATGTTAAGCGTGCATAACATGCATTATGTATAATACATCTCATAATTGATGATTTCCTTTTCATTTCTATTAAAATATGATGTCTGAGCAGTCAATGAACCAAATTTGCCTACCTTGTTGTTCTGCAACATTCTCATCATTGTTTTATGAACCCAAACTAAATTAACAATAATTTTTGTAGATATCTTTTCATGCATTTCATTTTACATAATCATACAGTATATGATTCATACTTAAGTTTTATGTTCCGTATATTTTATATTTTCTTGTAGTGTCTGTATCATTTCATTAGTTCATATCATATATAATAGTGTAATTTGTTAATCAATCTTAAAATGTTATTAATGCTAATTGTTTAAAATAATAAACAAATAAAAGGCTGAAGATGCTTAAAAAAATGTATCCGTTAGAATTAATTTTTATTCAATTCTTGTTTAAAAGTAATGAACTTATTTAAGAGCATCTATTATACTTGCCCCTGTTGCTTTAATCATAATCTTACTCAAATGTAATTTGCCCACAAAATATGAGTTATAGTAACTATGTTCTTTTGGTGGAAAACATATTTAATTTGAAAAAAAATTGAAATAATGGTTGGTTTTATTTTTAAATGTAGTTTATTTAGTCTTCTATAAAGTTTTAAATGTTACATTTTAATCAATTATTATTGTGTGTTACAGATTCACTAATGTTGGAAGATCATTTTTCCCACTTCCACGTATTACACCTGTTGACTTGGGCGAAGGAATGGAATTATGGAAAGGATTTTTTCAAAGTCCTGTTATGGGTTGGAAACCTTACCTCAATATAGATGGTAAATACTAAATAATACATAATCAAAATACATTAATATTCCGATACAAATTGCATCTAGTTTTTACTTGTGAAAGGAGAGAATGAGATACGGAAAAAGTAAAAGATTCCAGAATTTAAAAAAAAAATTAACTGTAGGCACTTTAAATTTTCACTTAATAATAATTATATTAACATTTTATAGGCATTTTCACATTTTTTTAAAGTTATTTGCTCAGTATAATTAAAACAACATTTTCAGTCCAAAAGCTTAAAAGTGTAATGCAAAATAAGTATTTTTATGTTAAAAATATCAGTATACATAATGTTGTATACCAACTGCTAGAGATCCAGGTTGTCATTGGTTGTTTTTTTATAAATGGTTAAAGACAATTTTTAAAAGTGAATAAAATGATAGTTTATTTCTATTAAAATTAAGCAAAAATTATCATCGTGTCTGTGTGAGTCTGTGTGATGCTCAGGTCTCAACAGCTATGATATATCTGAATGTACTCATATACTCCAGGCCATCATATAAATGATTTTGGCTTGGCTGGCTAGGTTTTGCTGGTATCTGGGTATGGTGTGAAAAGTTGTTGTTTTCATCGAAATAACTGGCTCTGTGGTTATTATTGATAGTTTTGCCTAATTTGCAAGGATCACTGGTGCCGTGTGACATTTACGTTAGTTGGTTGGTTGGCAATTATTTAAATGGACTAGTATTAAGCGACTAGGTTACAGCTTATACATTGTGTAAGGTCAAGATGATAAATCATGTGTAAACAAATGTTACTAATTTTATCTATTTGTTATAATCGCTTTATGAGTTTATTGAATTTTTAGTATTCATAGATCATAACTGTAAGAACATTTTTTTTTTAATGTTATAAAAAAACATACATTTTAACAAAAATCGAATATTTAAGTGAAAAATATTTACTTTAGTTATCTTATTGTAATTTAAAAAATATTAACTGACAACTGTAGAAACTTTTGGCCTATAATAATTTTTATAAGTATTTAAATACATTTAGGTAGGTACTCAAGTACTTTATAAAACTGCTAATTATGTTTAAATGTAAAATAACAGTACTGTTAGTGTCTTGCATTGAGATGATCAAAGCAATTTGAACCCTCTATATATTCTTACTCTATGGTTTGAACTCAAAATATCTATGCAGTCTGGTCCTACTTATAAATATGTTAATTGAATTTATTAATATCATTTTAGTGGCGCATAAAGGATTTCCCAAGCATCAACCATTAATAGACTTCATAGCAAAAGAATTGAATTGTGATATCAATGTAGAAATGGATCAAAGAAGTTACAATGCGTTATCAAATTATGTTAAAGGATTGAAAATTGACTTTATGGTTCCAAATCAACCCAATACAAAACGTTCATACAAAGTAGTTGGTCTCCTTGACACTGCCTCTAGATTTAGGTAAGTGCAAATTATTATTAAAATATAATATATATTACCAGGAATTATGACAAAACCTTTTAAAGTAAAGAAGTTACATAAATTCCTAATACTTTTAATCAAAAAGTCATAAGGAGAAGAAGAATGAGGAGATCAAACTTTTTGGCTTCTTAATAAACAAAATGATTTTCACAGTTAAATGTCACATGCTGCGTTGTGGTCGTGTCCATTGCTATAGGTTGCTATTATCTCTATTCTTATGGATTTCAATTCTTGTAATTTTCAGAACCTACAAAAATAAAAAAATGATGATGTTTAAATGATATATTCTTAGATTGTAAATTTTGATCACTACCCATTAGTTTTTTTGCCATAGTCTAATTATTTGTGATAACTAGTAAAGTTAGCTTATTGTGAAATGTAAATTTTGAGTATAAGTTAGAAGTATGTGAAGTCGTAAATACAATTATAGATAATTGTAGACAAAACTATTTCGGCACAATAACCATTACTGGTTTTTTCAATGGTTTTATAATTTCGATAATAATAATATAGTCTAAGTACAATATACATAGAAATAAGTTAAATTTTCAAGAAAAATATATAAAAATCAAGACAAAAGAACCAAATAGGGGAAAAAGCAATAAAAAGCAGGTTTTGTGAAAAAGGCAAAACAAAGTTTTACCTCATTAAAATCGGAACGATTCAAAACGTATTTATACATAAGAATTATCTTTCTATCATACTCCCCTCAAAAGAAGCATTTGCTACAAAATCCGAGCCCTACTAATAAGTAATATACAATGAGATCCTACATTTATTTGCAGTACAGTAGTTGATAAATTCATGTGGTGTGGGGAGGATCTGTATACCTTAATTAAGTAATTAATCAAGCTTTGACAATTAAGCATCACTTTATAAGGATATATACTTGATAATATAGTGTTCTCCATTATTCATAAATTAATGCTTGCTGTCATCAAGCATTGTGCTTCCTTTTTTATTTGATAAATCAATTATACATTTTGGTTATTCTTTTGTTAATTTTTAGGTAAAATTAAAGTAATGCCACAATAAAATAAAGTTAATTAAACATTTTTTTTTGAAAATTAGTTTTTAGTATCTATTAAGAAATAAGAAGATATAAACTGCTCATAGACTTACTTCAGTGACTAAACATTTTCCTTACCAAGTTTGGCATTGTTCCCATAAATAATAAGTTAATGAGTTTATGAAGTATAAACAATTTTCACCTATGGATAATCATAGTGTTTCCTATTTCACCTTCCAGTTTTCCAGATGTAGGAGTAGGATTGTTTGTAGCTTATACTTCTAAATGGAGATTACTTCACTGATGTTAAGTTTGTAAAAATCTGTTCAATAATTTGAGACATAACATGGGATGATAAAATACAATTAATTTAAATAAAAACCTAAAATATTATTGTTTTTAATGATTTTGTTCAATTAACAAAATTCAAACCAAAATTTTAAACCATCACTTATTTTAGAAGTTTAAATTTTAATACTATACCTACGTTAATAATAAAATTAGTTCATTACTACTATTATTTTGTTTACAAAAAGGTAATACTATATTTTTTTTAAACTGTACTATAATTTCTAATAGTTCAAATAATTTTCAAATTGTTTTGAAATAGCAAATAAAGCAAATTTAATTGAAATTATAATAATTAATTAAATTATCTTTATAGATTTGATATAGAAGATGCTACTAGAGGTAGACAAACACTTAATGTAGTTCAATACTTCAGAATTACTCGAAACTATGTTATCAAGTATCAAAATTTACCATGTTTACACGTTGGCAACGTTAACAAGAAAACTGCTATTCCAATTGAAGTAAATATGTATTTTAATATATTATTATGTACCCAATAATCAATACATTTAACATAATAGTTTATAATCCAATGGTTTTTTTTAGTTTTATTGTTTTTTTTAAGAAATTTACAATAATTAATTATTTTTCAAAATTGTTATATTCAAATTATATTTTTCAATACATGTTTTTAGCTATGCAAGGTTCAAAGAGGACAATTGCGTTTGAAAAAATTATCTGAAGTTCAAACTGCAGCCATGGTGAAGAATGCAGCTAGGCCTCCTGGAGAACGACGACAAACTATTGAAAATTGCATCAAAGACATTAATTACAACGACGATAATGTATTGAAAGACTTTGGTATTGAAGTTACAGAACAGTTTGCTTCAATACCAGCAAGAGTTTTGGATCAACCTTCGTTGGCTTATGCTCAAAATAAGGTAAACTTTAAAATATTATGGTTAAATGGGTATTAACAGTTAAGACTATTTTGGTTGTTGATTGATAAAGATTGTTTTAAAAATATCAGCTTATAGGGGATGTAAATTGTTTTAAGTATGTGAATATGAAAATGTTGGTATATTTTAATCTATACTGAAATTTAAAAAAATAGTAATAGTAAGAAAGACAACATTGTTTTATTAATTTAGTTGATATTTTGCCCTAAAGATTTTTTCAGTGATCTCAAGATTTCAGTCATTGTAATTGATTCATACTATAATTAGATCATAGAAAAATTAATCTTCTAATTTAATTTTTATCTATTCATTGCATTATAGTTTCTTTTTTTTTTTATTTATTATTTAAGAAAATTTACAATCTTTATACAATTTATATAATAAGTAAGTATGATGAGTACAATATTACAGGACATGAAAATCTTGAGGGAAGGAAGCGCCCAGTGACACTACTTCCAAATTTGCATTATAGTTAAAACTAAAAACATATAAAGAGTCAACTAACTAACAAACTTTGACTAGTAAAATAATTCTATATTGTGTGTTCAGAGTTCTTCTGTTCATTAATTAAGTTGTATAAAATAAATAGGTTACAAATTCTTATGCCATTATGAAGATTTCATAAATTATCATAATTATTAACAGAAGTAATCTCTTTTTCTGTTTAAAACAACAACAAAAATAAGTAATTTCAACTCTATAGGGTTTATTATTTTATTATTTCTATCCAAGCCAATCTTTCGTAACTTTTTCTTTATGAAAACGCCCTAACATTAAGTTCCATAAAAATGGTAACATACTTAAAACAATTAATAGATTTTGTTAAACCTATATGTAAATTGAAAATCAGATTATTTTCACAGTTTTTCTTATCTGTGGTATTTATGTAATGTCATAGATAATGTCAATTATTAATTATTAAGTACCTGATTTATACGCACGAAACATCCTCAAAATATGCTTCTAAAAATTCTATAATATGCTAAAAAATATGCATTTATTTTTAAATGTGCATTTAAATTGAATCAAAAACATTTTGTTTAAAATTATGTAAATAATAAGTATTAATTAATAAGTATTTAAAAAAGTTTTAAAAGTATAACAAAGTATTTTGTTGTCTTCACTAAGTTCTTCACCATTTAACATTCTTTATCTTCAATCTATAAAAAATTAGCCCACATTAGTAAAAAATGAAAACAGAAATTAAATGCTTCTTTTACTTTATTGCACGGAATGATAAGTAGTTGCTTAATGTGTTCGAATGTCAAATTCTTCTGAATATCTGCGAGTTCATTTTTGTAAAAAAATGTATTTACCAGTATTTATAGGTGCTTACTTCATACATGCAATATCACTTGCATTTAAATCTTCAGGTAGTTTATTGTTGACATTTAATTTCTTCTTCCAAAATCTTAGAAATTGTCTTCATTATTTTATATCCGGGGTTTTTTTTATCATGGTTGTAAGTTTGGCGACAAAAAACAAATATATGTACTATAAAACAACATATGTGCATTTAATAGATAAAAAAGTTGAAATATGCTAAATATGCAAGTATAATCCATTTAAATCTGGTCACTATTAAGTAAACTTGAACACACACAATATATACAAATAATTTTTTTGACGACACAACATAGTAGTAGTACATGACATATCAGTTCAGAACCACTGGTCTATAGGGTACTTTTAGAGTAGCTGCCGATAAAGTGACATTAATGCTTAATTATTATATTGATTATTATTATTTCCAACAAGTATGGTACTAAAAGAACAGTTGTAAGCCACAAATGTATTATTTGTATATTTTTCAGGAAACTAAACCAAGAGCTGGTGTTTGGAGACCTGATAGATTTTCTAAAGCAGTACATATTAACAAATGGGTTGTATTGAATCTAGACCAGCGTACTAATATTGAAAGCATAAAGTATAATTGTTATTGTGTCTTATTTTTCAACAACTATTTTTTACTAATTCTTTATTATTATTCTATTTTAGAAACTTTGAAAAAAGTTTGATGATGAGTGCTAGAGACTTGAATGTTGTTATAAACCCAATGTATCCTGTAATTAACTGTTTTTTGCCAAGGAATAATAGTTTATCTGAACTAAAAAATCTAATGGGGAACCTTTTTGCAAAGCAAAAAGCTTGCGATACAGAATTAATTGTGGTTGTTATTCCAGATTATCCTCCAGGAATTTATGGTAAATAATAAAAAAAATTAACTTACTACTAACAATTTTGTGACTTAATGATTGTGCCAAATAATTTATTTTCTTAACTCAAGTTTAACATAAAATATTTCAAGTGTGTATACATTTTTTTTACATGTATTAAAATGTTAAATGAGTTTCAAAGTTATTCAATGTAATATTGTTTTTATAATTGTAGTATCAATTTTACTTAATTTTGTTTTAGCTTCTGTTAAGCAAAAATCAGAACTGGAAGTTGGTGTTCTTACACAATGCATTAAATCCAAGACTATGTTTAGAATGAATACATCAACATCTTCCAATATTCTACTAAAAATAAATTCAAAATTAAATGGAATCAACCACACTCTTGCCAACAGAAGCAGGTAATAATACACTAGATCAGTGATGTCCAACCTTTTTTATTTGGTGGACCACATTAGTAAAATATTGTCTTCCTGCTGTGCATATATATACTTCAAATTTCTATAAGAAATGCCTATGAGCTAACATTTGAACTTCAAACACTTATCGAACCAATTTCAAATATGTATTTTTGATATTTATTAACTGCTATATTAATTACTGGTGATGTATTTGGTATGTCATATTGAATTTTCAAACTTTTGCAAATGACAAAGAAAAACAAAGCATACTTCTCTCTGCTTTATAGAAAAACATTAAATTGTGGCTATATTTTCATGGGTTTCCAGTGTTTCTACTTATTCAATACAATTTGTAAATGGTACAATACAATACAATACTCTTAGGCTGTCATTATTAGGTTGTAATGATTTTTAGATTACTGACTCGTCATTTATGTCATACTCAGTAAATTTTCTCAGGTAAACAGAACACAGAAACACAGAGTATGATAATATAAATTATTCCAGTCAGTCAAATTTTATTGAGACAACAGGCATCTCTTAATTTTAAAGTAATATTATTAATTTGATTTACTGTAGGTATAATAACCTACCCTTCCTTATAGATAAATCATAATATTTCAATTTTTTTTGAACTCGTACTCCGCTACTTCTATGGTCTTCAATATACCACCCTTAAAAACCTAGGTGATAGTTTACTGCAATATATTATTACTAATCAATTATTTAATAAACCTTGTATACGTTGTTATATCGTGTTAAATTGTGTGAGCCTATGAACACAATTCAAGTTTCCAGAACTTGTAAAATTTGACTTAGAAAACTTTATTTGTATCGATTCAACAACCCAGTTTTCAAGACCGGTTTGTGTTGTGGGAATAGCAAGGAGTAGTTTTCTTAACTGGATAGAATTAAGTATAATTATTGACTGCCACTTGGTTTAAATAAATAAGATAAGGTGTGTTGCAACATTCTCTCTCCCGCTTACAGATGATGCTCAACATCTTTACCATCACTTTTATTCGTATATTGTCATTGACACCCATTGTTCACAGCTAGAACAAAATTATCTGTTGTAACTTTGCTCATGACAAACTTGTCCCATTTTGCATTTTCATGCCTACTGTAATGCACCCAAAATTCTAAATACTTTTTTGGTTAGAAAAAATTGGAATGTAACCGTAGCAACAACATATAATTTGTATTACAAGTTACAACACATTATTGTATAACCAATACATGACATATATCACTTTGCTCAGAATCTTAAATCAAATGCTAAATAGTAAATATATTTTTTTAATTTAGTAATTCTTCTGCTTATAGACATCATATGTATGACTCCTGGAGTACATACAAATAACTTAAATTATACTTGATCTTTTTTTTTTGCATAATGTTTAATAAATAATTGCAATATGTTTTTAAGTAGTCCAAATTGAATCTAATGAAAGCTTCACATTTAAATAAACATTATGTACTAGGTCCTATCAAATAATATTATTTATGATTTAGCCCGCCTAGTATGGATGGAGCAATTATTTTTGGTGCTGATGTGACACATCCATCTCCTGAACAGACTACTATTCCATCAGTTGCTGCTGTAAGTTTTATTTAAGTTATGAGCTATTAGAGTGAATCTAAACAACAGTTCTAATTTATAATTTATTATAGAAGTTAAATTTAATAATCTATAGAAGAAAAAAAATAGATATCTTAAAATATTTGTGTAACTGTAAAGTAACCCGCCCAACTCATCTTAGGACATAAATATTTTTAAGGGTGTCGCATCTGAAATCAAATATGTATAAATAGTAATTATTAAGGTTTACTAAAGAAATCTTAACAGAACTCAGTATTCTCTACGCTTAGCATGTATCTATTATAAATGTAACATTTATATTTCAAGTTGGTAAACTAAAATAATATTTTTTTTAAAACAAGACTAGATAATTAATTCTTATTTCTAAGATTTCTTTTTTCACAATTAATTTATTATAGACAAATATATTATTTTTTAAGTTAAATACTCATATTTTTGATTTAAAAAGAAAAATTGAGAATCTTTATACATTATATTAATTTATTATATATAATATATTGTACTTAAATTCCTAAAAACAAAAACAAAACAACTGCCAATAAACTCATAAAAAAATCATCTATTATAATACGTTTATTAGTTGTTACCCAGTGAACAAAATAAGTTTGTGTAAATTAAATTGCTTTAATCATTGGGAATTATCCCAATAAACAGTTAATTTTTTGATTAATATAATATTTATTAAAGTACTAATCATACCCAAAAACTAATATCATAGACAAAACAAATGATTAACATAACAAACGACATTATAAAAAAAATTTAGATAGCTATGATGCTCTTCTTAGTATATTTACAAAATCTTATGCATGCAATACAATACAATTCATTTTTCTCATCTTAGGTAGCAGCCAGTCACGATATTTATGGAAGCCAATACAATATGGAATGGCGCTTGCAATCTCCTAAAGTAGAAATTATTCAAGATCTAGAAGACATTGTTCATATTCAATTGGTTAAATACAAAGACAGAACCAAAAGTGTGCCGAAAAAAATATTTTATTTTAGAGATGGTGTAAGCGAAGGCCAATTTCTACAGTTGTTGGAATATGAACTGATTGCTATTCGAAGAGCTTGCCTTCGACTCAATATCAACTACAAACCTTCAGTGACATTTTTGGTCGTACAGAAACGACATCACACCAGAATGTTTCCCAAGTACAGTTGTGACATGGATGGCAAGTTCGCTAATGTTCCTTCTGGCACAATTATAGACACTCAAATTACACATCCAACAGAACTTGATTTTTATTTATGTAGCCATGCTAGTATTCAAGTTAGTTATTATAATTTTTATATGTTATCTTAGCTTAAAGGCTAATACATTATTTATTTTTATTTATCAAGGGCACGTCCAGACCAACCAAGTATCATCTGATATGGGATGACAATAATTTCACTGAAGACCAGTTGGAACAGCTGACATTTTATCTCTGCTTTATGTTTGCACGTTGTACCCGTTCTGTTTCATATCCGGCACCTACATACTATGCCCATTTGGCTGCATTTAGAGCACGAGCTTATATTGAAAAGTTAGTTATTTTATTAAAATATTATTATACTAAGATAACATTTTTTTTTTTTATAGCAAAGTCATCAACCTCAACAATTTAGATGATGAGCAAACCAGAAATCAACTTAACAAATCATTCACGGCTAATACTCCCATGTTTTTTGTTTAACATTTTTTAACTAAATAATTTTTTTATCTCAATTTTTTTTGTAATTCTAAATTACTTTTTTTTTGAGTATTAAATATATATGTATTTATCTCTATATTATTACCCATGTTATACTATATCTTTTTAACTTTTTAAGACGATTTTTTTTTCTTATATACTTAGCTTATATTTTATTTCGCTTTCTTAATAAAGTCATATTCCAACCTAATATGTGTTAATCTATTTAGTTAATTGAGATTTGATTAGTATTGGTACTCAGTTACAGTTATTTGTTATTAAACACCTACCATTAATCGGTTATAATATTTTGTAATATGTCTACTTTAATGATAATTAAAAATAAATTGTATGTGATGACTATCTAGTCTGCAATGTTAATTAAAAGAATAATAATCATCATTTTTATATTTTTGTGTATGCTATGGAACTACCTACAGTAAATAGGACACTAGGACTATGTAAGAAGATGGATATATGTATCACATATTTCGCATACCATTAAATTGGGTCACTTTAGACACATTGGATAGCTTCAGACAAAATGATAAAATTGAATTTTTTCCTCTTATTTTTATGGATGAACATTTAAACAGTTGTAACCTACATATAATCTCTAATAGTGTATGGAACGAAACGATATGTATCGACGATCAAATTGTTGACACTTGCTTTTAAATTTTCAGTTATTTTGTCTGTTTATTATATTATCTTAACTTACAACATGCGTATGTTACAGAATATATATCCTCAAATTATTATTTTTTGTTTATTAGTTATACAATTGCATAATATTAAGTATGAACTATTATGTTTTTAATTTTTTTTTTGTGTCTGGATTCTTAATCAATTTTTAAATGTAAAAAAAAACTGGTCTGGCTGACTTGAGACAATGCAAAATATAAAAAAAAATAGGTGGACGTGCCTACCAAAACTATCACACCTCGGTTTTAGATAAGACTGTTATTGAATAAAAAAAATCAAAACAGCCCGTTAGAATATAAGCTGAAAAATATTTTTTTTAATTTCATTTGTTTAAAAGGATAAAGTTAGGTTATCTTATTTTTTTTTTTTTTTGAAGACCTAAAATGTTGTTTGGTATCGCGAAAGAAAATTTGATGTATAATAACGCAAAAATAAATAAGCTGTAAACCTACTTATTCGAGTAGAAAATTCTAGAAATATAAAATACCTACAAAAAAATGTAGAGCTCGTGTATCATAGTCATAGCCTTATATTATTATATATAATATATCGTGACGGATTTTTGTTCTGCTAGCTCGTATCACAACCTTGAAATTTTACTCCCAATGATGGCTAAAACGTTTCACTTCAAAAAAAAAATGTGAATATTAGCCTATAGCTTAAATTTTATGTCAATGGACGTTTTTAATATCTGTTCAACAACAGCATAACATTATAATTAAGAGGATATTTATATTTTTTTTTTTCAGCGCAATATTTTTTTCTTTCTCAGACTCACAAAACATAGATGAAACGCTTTCACCTAAAATTGTTTTTTTATGATTTTTAAGTAACCCTATAGTAAAATCACTTATTACAAAAATGATGGAGGATAATATTTTTGAGGGTATGACACTATGACATGACATATTGGTTTTATATTTTATTATTATTTGACTGAGTGTTTGACTTACAAAATATAAATTGTAAATTTAAATCATATTTAAACCATTTACATAATATTTAGTCAAATCGATATGCCATTCTCTCAAAAATATTATTTTGTATCGATTTTTTAATAGGTGATTTTACTCTAAAATAACTCAAAACTATACAAACTACTGTTTTTCAAATTAAAACCCCCCTCATTTTTCACTTTTAATTATTCACCAGTTATTTTTTTTAGGAATTTTTATGTACCCAAGTAAGAAGTTTTTGTCGTTTTTGAGTTATATAACTTTGTCTACTAAAGGTAATATGTATGTGATTAATGGGTTGAGTAGACTTTAAATGGCGACTTAAATTAATTTGAAAATGTTTGTAATTGCTATAATTGTTCTATCAATATAAATTATTTGTAAAAATGATCAATTTGACATCGTGATTACCTATGTATAATGAATACTAGGTACATCAAATACAACAATACAATATATTATAGATTTTATTTTTGAAAAATCATATTTAAGGATTATTATCCTTATTATAAACATTTTTAAGTCAGAAACTACTTATTAGAATTTTCATTTAGATACACCAACATTTTTAAGAAAATCACCTAACCTACCGACATACAAAATATCATATGGGCAATCATACCTTACACAGTTTCAACTTTCGCCGCATGTCCAGAGCTGTAAACCAAAATATAATTTATCGGTTCACGTTTAAATATTTAAAAAATGTATTAATTAAAAATTGTTTGTAAGTTTCTTATAACGGAGACTTGGAGTATTCCAACTTATTGCATGTTTGCACTATATTCATATATTTTATATAAATATTTATATTCTACATTTCTACACACTAATCACATTTAACTGCCGTTTGGCTATGAAAATAAATATATAGTACATAAGTAATTGATACCTATCTACATACTTACTAATACAGTAATACTACCTACAAAATGTAATAGCACACATTTTCGTATCACATTATCACATATTATGTCCATGATCAACCTAAAACCCACCGCGCAGAAAAAGCGAAAATAGTGTAGGTAGGATCCTAATGGCTATTATATTCAATAAAGATGTGTTACCAATAGGTTTCTTCCTCAGCCACAGCATTCGTGTCATTTCATTCGTATAAATATCATGTTTATTTATTGTAATAGTTTTGTACGGACTGTCTAAATTCCTTTAAATATAAATATTAAAAAAATTAAACAGATGTAGCCATGTCCACGTGTGTACCATTATGAGCACTACTACTGTGCGATGATTCAAATTGCAATAAGACAATAAAATATGTTAATGTGACTCCAATGATCTATAACAGTAAAAAAAATTGTATATTAGGGTACTAAAACACGAAGAATTAGGTAATGAAAGAAAAAAGTTTTTGTTTACTATTTTCCACTATTTACTTGTGTCGTATAGTGTAGACAGTCTTCAATATAAAATATGTATTATAAATTTGCTAACAATTTTAAGTATCTCCGGTTTTATTCAGAATATAAATACAATACAAATATATATGTTTAATATATTTTTTTTTTATTCAAGGAATGTTGCATGGAAATAGGGATTTTGCAAAACAAAAGCAAATTAGTAATATTATTATTATATTTGTTTTGTTGTTTATAAATGTCGCTATTCGTTACATATTTTGTATTATTATTTATTTTGTGACATGCCGTTTGCCGTCCTTACTCCCCTGCATACGAGTCAATGTACCCAAGGTGTGACAATATTATGTTCCACTTTCGTTCCACATAAAAAAACAAATACAAATAGAAAATGTCTTATGCCTATAAATAACTAAAAAAAGAATGAAAATATTTTTAAAATTTTAAAGAGAATATAAAATGCTAATATATAAGCATTCGGTGAAAAAATCAAGTATCTAAGTTTAATTTTTTTTTAGTAACGTCAAAAAATAAAAACGCTTTTGTCATAAACTTGTTGATGGAGCCGAAGGAAATATTTAATGAATTATATAATCCGTACTTCGGTGTAAATTGCAATTTAGTTAATATATTGTAGAATATAATAAATAACCACAATGTAAGGGTGTGTTCTGTACAAGCTATGACGCTACTAAACTATAACGCACAGTGCGACGAAGTCACCCGAGCGAAGTCTTAACTCTCGCTTATTATTGTACCAATCTGCCTTATGTAGCGATAATATTATTTTAATTTTCCCGGCTCAAACACTATTTTGTGTAAAAAATTTAATTTCCCTTAACTTTATTTTTATCAAAACATATTTTATTGGCGCGCCGTAAGTGTGAGACCGGCGGCGAAGGGCACGACTCAACAAGAATAATAGTAAACAATCAATAGCAACCATTTATAAACAAAACAAAATAATATATTAATAGTATTAATAATTTGTAGCCTTGCAACAAGTAATTGAATTTTTATGACAATATTCCTTGAAAAAAAATATATTAAAAATATTTATTTGTCTTGTATGTTGTATTTATATTCTAAAAAGTAAATATATAATATTATTAGAATACGATTAATGGATTGGCCTCAAAAACAGCGAAGCTCCGTCATTGGTATGAGCAAGCGAGTTGCGTTCTCCAGCAGAACTAAGTGTCTATAAGTATAGACAGTATAGTATGATAGTCTTTTTATCTATGCTCCTATATGATTAGTAAATTATCGTTATAATATATTACCGTGGTAATGAGAGATAGATTTAGAGTTATCAAACCGCCGCATGCGTGTACGGCGACTTTGCGTGCTACTACTTGACGCATAAACTCTTGAACCTGTTGACCAAACATATTTTTAATTAGTTGGTGGAATTAGACCTACTCAATCAAAACACTCTAAACCCTATTAGGTATATTAAAATACAAAATATACATAAAATATATGGTCAGCAACAGGTTTCGAAGTCTTTATTAGAAACCACAAGTATCGTATTGCCTGCAGTTTTTCAATCAATGTTAAAAACAGTTAAGTTGTTAAATTAAATATATGTATATATATTATTATTATAAGTACTTATATTCAACAGTCCCCTCTGTAGAAAAAAATTATTATTTTTTTAAAATATTTAGCACACCATTCGCATGAATTTGCAATGCGAGTTTTGAAATTCACATGACACACACACATCCCACCTCAAAATCAAAACGTGCCACAGAAACACGGCTTCTCGCCTCTTTCCTTGTAAAAATGCACATCAAATGATTATGTTAAATATTAAATTATTGTTTTTAAAATTTTAAATAAATATTTTATTTTATTATATCATATCATATTGTCTAGGAAATCCTAATAGAATAATATTTTGTCTCTACAGTTTTTCATTCTCTGAATCCAAAATATTGTAATGGCTATTGTAATAGCTTGTTTTTGTATGTTGTTTGTTGGCTATTGATATTTGGCTGAAATGTTAAATATTTCAAAAAAAAAAATTTTAAAAAATAATTATTATTAATAAAAGTTGTACATAATATAATACGTATATATGCGGAACTTGATTAGGCTAGGTCTGGAAATAGAAACCCCTCTCCCGAAAAAAATTTCTAGGTACGCCCCTGGTTGTCTTTAATTGTTCTAATACATTTTTATAGTCTGATCCCCGTACAATCAGACATTATTCAGACCATACTTTAATATATAGATTGAACTAATGCGCAAGTACACCATTTTTAGACTATAGAATTATCTACATTGTTTTGTAACTGTTTAAAAATAAAAATAAAATTTCTTAAACGCATTATTGTCATTTCAGTATGAGGTTTCCTGGTTTCCATTTTAGGTGCTCGTCAAAATATTACACCTAAATATTTTGCTGTTTTAACTCTAGTCAAATGCCTACAATTTGAATTACACATATCAGTTAAATTATTTTTTTACAGTTATTGTGATATAATTTAATTGTAATTTGTTCTTGTTCGAACTGGACAAGGCAAAAGGAACAAAAACTGATTTTTCATTATTTAACATTAAACTATTTTTAGCATACCAATTATTAACCAATAATAGTCCTGAGTTTGCTTTTTTTCCCACTTCAGTCCAAGTTTCCCCCTCAAAAAATAAAACTATCATCTGCAAAAGCTAGGATGTTGCCATTTACATCTAAATTTAATAAGTTATTTACGTATATATAAGCTGTAAACCCTTAAGAAAATAATTGTTGAGCTAAAATGGTTTCATACCAGCAGCTAATAAAAAAAAAAAAAAGTTATTTACGTAAATGTTAAATAATATCGGACATAATACTGTCCCTCGTGGCATACCATACTTTACTGTACACGGATCACTTATCTCACAATTAATTTTTGTTGATTTTGAGATCTATTTAGGAGATATGATTTGATTAAAGTATTAAGTATATGTTAAAACGAAAATACTTTTTTTTTAAATACTCGAAAGTTGCACTAGGTACTGTATTTGTAGATTTTGAGTGGGTTAATGGAGCGTTATATTGGTTAGCCAATAGTAGGCATAGGCAGTGATTGAAGTGGCTCGAAATAAGGGATGCCCGTCATAATTTCTCATGTATGGTTTAAACAGCCATACAAAATAAGTGGAGAGATGGTAAATGTGAATTGACTTCGACCACTGAGGTATTGGTAACACTTCCGCATAGTTTATATACACACATTATAGTTTCTTAATTTTGTACACTCACCGCTTCAATTTCTTGCATTTTACTTATGTATGGTTCTCCAGAGAGCCGACTTTCTTTGAAAATATCCAGCAATAGTGTGTTCAAATTGTCAAACATTTCACTTGACTATAAAACAAGAAAAAATATTTTTAATTTAAATACATACAGTAGGCTTCTAAAACATAAGATGATATTTCATAAAATTCATATATTATTTCTTTAATAGATGTACTATATATTATGCAATAAGATATATAGGTACTTCATTTATTTAGTTGAATAGTTCAATCTTTATTTTATAATATGTTTCATATAAGCTAAAAGGGATTAAATAATTATTTGATTCAAAAATTTTAAATGTCAATAAAATTTGTTTCACCGATAAACGTTAAGACATCATCTATAGATACTAGATAGGTAATACATTTTCTATATGCATGGAATATATATGGATTAATTGTATATTTAATTTCACGTGGCTTACTTGTCAACCTTTATAAGATTTTTTTAAAATTCAAAACTGCTGAAGGTTCTATAAGTTATAAGTAAATAATTAATATAATATTACAAAATGTAAAGGTAATTCGAACTCAAATGTATGGTCTCCAACAGAACCTTTAAATAGTTTGTCAAACCGAACTCAAATCAAATTATTTTCAACCTCGAACTGAATCCGCATACCTAATAAACATTTTGTTTGATAATCACACTAAATCTTTTTAGTTTTAGGTACCTACGTAAACCAAAATATAAAATATAGAATAGCATTGTTGGAAACGTATGACGGGTTCCAACTTTGGAGTTTGAACTATTTTGATGTTTAAATAAGTTATTGAATTGCAAACTTTTTAAAATTCGTGAACGGTTTGGTCTTTTTTTGACTTAAAGTTTAGACTTTCAAACTGAAACCTAACTTCGAATATTTCGATCGACTAGTCATTAAAAAAATAAGTTTATTAAATACTTGGGCGGCCAAATCGTCGCACGTGTACGCCAAATAAGCAAACTGTCCGAACCACGCTATTAATTGAACGATGACAGCCAGCGACATGTTGGTCCGCGCTTCCGAGTCGTCGGTCAGCCGGTGAAACACCGATATGGCTACGTAGGTGACGCGAACGGCGGCCAACAGCACTGCCGTCATGAGGTCTACGCTGTAAGCGCCGCACACGCCACCCGTCACCAGCCCGGTGATTCGCCAGTGTCTGCGAGCCAACTGCGCAATGACATCTTGTTGGCGACAGTTCTCGTCGATGTCGGCGTCATTAGCGTCAAGGTTTCCGCCGGAAGACCGGACGCGGCGTAGCCGTCCGACCGGCGACATGTGAGTTATCCGGCAGTTGATGGACCGCATGCTGATGTTGGCCACGACCAGCAGGGCGACCGCGGTGCCGTGAGCCGCTACCGGTGCGCAACTGGCCACCGCGGCCACGGTGCCCATAACAGTGCGCCATGCGCCGTTGTGAGTGAGCGATATCACGTTCGCGGCAATCGCAAACTGCGCGACTGGGAAAGCCACGATTAGGTACGCGTGCCATGGTATGTTGAATGCCGACGGTCTCCCAGCAGCGTCGTCACCGTTGTCGTCGTCCAAGCAACCGGCTGAGGCTGAGTTCAAGCATTCTACCGTGGACAGCCGGCGCCACGTGACGGCCGCAGTCAAAGCGCAGATCTCCGACACCCTGTCGAGCCAGGCGACCGCATAGTACACGCACGCATACACGCACCACACGCCGCCGCACACGGTATCGTAGCACGATGCCTGAGGTAGGTGCGTGATGGCCTGCACCGTGACTGGCCACGTTTCCACGACGATCCTATGCACCACGGCCGCCAAGCAGACCGCATTACATACATGGGCCCTGGCCCACCGCCATCGGCCGACTGACACCGAGGCCGCCGTGAACTCGCGGTGGCCCACTGCGGTCTCGGCCAATACCAAAACCCCGGTCACTTTGCCTGTCCAATACACCAATATGGCCCAAATGTGCAGTCCGTGCCGTCGCACCATGGACGATGACTGCCACACCATCGTCATCAAACTATTTTACTTATAAATTACAAATTATTATTGGTATAATATGGTTGTCAGCTATAAGTTAATCTGCAGCAAGTGTAACGTGGCCGAACTGCAACACGACGAACAACCGAACAAACATGTTTGAAGAACATAATATCATTTGAGCGTGTTTAATATTCTTTAATGGCTACAACGGAATAATATATTACTATTCAATCTTCTAAAATCGTATACTCATCGAATTATTCCTGCGAAATCATATTAAGGTAAAATTAGATATACCTTAAGGTTCATATTATATATAGGTACTACTATAAAATATTACATTATTCAAATTCAATAATGTTATTGATTCGTTTGCCACCGAACATTACATTAATATACTATATCAGGGTACAATATTTGAATTATAGAGTCTATATTACAGACCACGGGTATGTTAAATGTAAAATTTCTTCAAACAAAGTGCGAACATCGAGGACGGTCTGACAGGTATATCAATAATACTAGGTATACTGCGTGTTTCAGGGGCGTAATTATATTTACGAGTCATTGAGCTATGACACACCGATGAGTGATGACTGAAGCGATAAGGATAACCCTTCAAAATGTATTGTATTATTATATTTTTGAATAAATGAGTTCCTATGTACATACGTAAGTAAATAATATTATAATATTATAATTTAAAATGTCATAAGCAGTTCATGAAAAAAAAAACATTTACATTCTGTGATAATATTAAAACATGTACATTGTACATTTGTACAGACCACCCAACAATACCCTCAACTAAGGATTTTTCAACGATTCAGAAACTGAAAAAATCGTTGGAATAATAATATTCTTATAACGCACCTCAAGAGGATCCAACCTTATGTAGTTGCCGGGCCAATGTACATTTTTATAAAAACACCAGGGGCCACCAAAAGAAAAAAAAAATGATATTATTATTTATATTTTATTTTATTACAATAGAAATGCTTGGGATTTCGAATGAAATTTAAGCCATTTAAGAAAACCCTCAGTAATTATTATTATCTCGAAATTATGAGTCATATTACGATGTTGTTATTACATAATTGTGGTTTTTTAAATAAAAAGGCTTAGAGGGTCACGGGTTGGGCCACCCTGATGGTCCACATAATCTTAAATTGCCTACTTAAAGCGCCGTCTTAAGGTATAAACAATAAATTATTATGATGCAGAGAATAATATATTAAGTATATATTTTATACTTATAAGTGTTAATCGACTTTTCTGTTTTTGGACAATTAAACATGTTCTGTCATAACTTGGTGATGAAGTGGTGTAACTTCACTAACTTAAGTTCTTGTATGAACATAATTTAGCTACTGAATCTACTGACCGCTGGTCTACATTTAATACCTATAAGTATCTAATCAATAATCATTAGAATTCTGATTATCATTCATTGCATAATTTTTACCTACCAATTTAATAAATAATAATTAATGGTATAATCTACGAAAATTTAAATGTTTTTAAAATCAGGAGCATATATCAGGTAAGGCACTAGTGGCACAATATGATTCACCAAGCATGCGTTTCCTTTAATAATGAATTTATTTAAGTTCTGATGTTTATATTATATAAATAAAATACAAACTATTAGTTTTTGAGTTATTTAACTTTGTGTACTAAGAATCTATACATCGTATGAATCAATGATAACGGGTTTGGAAGATAGATATGAAGCTAAGATGATTTGAACATTTCAGTATAGCTAGTTAATATTAATCTATCTCAATTTTAATCTGTAAAAATTGTCAGAATATAATAAATACTTTCCAATATTACATCTTCTTTTTATTTTTATACGGTGTGATTCACCAAGCATACTCAGTACTCACCCTGCTTTTTTTTATTTAACAATGAATCTGATTTTCAAAATTTTTCAATATAGGTACTCAAAAACCATATTTTCAAATAATTACATTTTTTTTGTACTCTTTAAGGAGTGTTCTGGTGTGGCAATACAAACTTCTATTTTTCAAATGAGAACCCTCTCTTTCTGTACCTACATTAATAACTGCATAATTTTTTTTGAAAATGTTGATGTACCACATTCAAAATTTGAATGAGAAGTTTCTAGTTATTAAAATGTTTCTATTGAGGATAATAGTCCTTAAAACTGATTTTACATAAATATAAAATGGACTTAAAATATAAGTAAAATAAGTATTTGATATACTTGTGTCATTTTTACAAATTTCTTAATATCGATAGATTAATATTAATGACTACTATAGTAGAGACGAAAATCCTACAGACCGAACTAAATGTGAAGGCGCGGTCGCTTGTCTGGACTCGCTGCATTATACGGATGATGTTAAAATAGAAGATCTGGCGGTAACCACGAAATTAGTCAAACATTTTTTAGCCGTACTAAAAAGTTCTTTAGTTCTGCTGTTGTGGACGCTGATGAATAGTCTTCAGATTATCGTTAAAGATTAGATGATTGTCTTCTAGTTTACATAAAAAGTAAATTAGTTACTTACACTAAATTGCATTGATTACAAATATATATTTTTGTGGAATAATTTAATATATCGGTTACTATATTTTATGTATTTCTATTAATAAACCCCAAAACATAATTGAAGAAATAGTGGACAAGTGACCTACCGCTTTGCTGCACGATAAGTTTCTATATAGAGGGTTGCTATAATGGAAGTGTTAAATTTGAATTCAATGATATAAAATCATTTTTTCTGAAGACGGTCAGCCTAATACCTACATTGTGTGATATCATTGCTGTGAACGTTATTAATTTTACTATTAGACAATACAGTAGATTGAACTAATTGTTGTTCAAATATTGCATTGTAAAAATGTCAGTGTGTGTACAAAACATAATAATATTATATTATACTTTAAATATCTAATTTTGTCAACATTTGAAATTTAAATGCTTATAAAAAAATCGTATCTAGGTACGTATTTTTAATTTTATTTTTTAACTGTTATTATAACTATACTCAGGAGGAACCTTGTATTCAAATATCAGCGTTTTGGGCTAAACGATTAGATAGGTACTCTTTTTGATACATATTTTATTGCTATTTAAACTGCCTACTTTTTGATTTTGAGAGAAGCGATGAGTGTTTCAGTATCTTTTCTGATGGGAAAGTGAATCTTGCTGTTGCATTCGGAAGGTCAAAATTAAAAAATTCCCAGTCATTTTCAAAAGTTCCGAGAAAAACAAACAAAAAGTTTAAAAAAAAACCTTGAATTTTTACACAAAATCGGTTTTTGACAAATTTGATTTTTTTTGTGTAACTCTAAAAAAAATGACAGTAGATACATGAAACTTTTACTGAATGTATATATTAACATTTTCTATACACCATAGAATTTTCAAAACATTATGACACATGTCGAGCTATTTATAGACTTATAACATTATCGATTATTATAATTTTTTCAAAACTAAAATAAAACTTTATTTGTTGGGTCAAAAGTGTGAAAATTTAATAAAAGGCTCCTGAAATATTGTAAGAATAGAAGTTGAAAAATATTAAAAATACATAGGCACGATTTCGTTTCATAAGCATTTAAAGTTCAAATTTTGACGACATTTATCAAATTGATAATTTACAAATCATTTTGTAGTTAAATATTTATAAAATGTTCAAATTTTATAGGTAAAGTTACATTTAAAGCAAAGTTGCACACAAGTATGTAATTCTATAACCAAAACATCTAAAAAATATAAAAACACAGTTTTTTTTTTATAGTTATTTTAAGTTCAAATTTGGATGAAATTACATATTATTAAATAATTAAAATAATGACTTAAGTTATTTTGTTGTGATTTAAAAATATTATTCGTAGGTAGGTACATGAATCTTTATCTTTTAGAGTATTCAATTATATTTTATACACACAAAACACAATGACTTTTCAAAAGCAATTTGTTTGGCAAAAATGAATTTAACCTATTTTACCTATAAATTATTTTAATCACAATAATATCATCAAATATACTAACTTACTAACTAATATTATATGCTGACAGACCGTTTTCGCTCAGAATAGTTTTTCGTGTATAATGATTTTATATCATAGAATTCAAATTCAATACCATCCATTACAGTGACCTACTTGTAACCTAGCAGAGTGGCATATTTTTTTAATTTCCATATTATGTTTATTATTATATATAAATATTAATTATGTACATTTAGAGCGCTAGCTGTACTTCTTCCTATGGTGAACAGCTGATTTTTGGGGATAAACTGCAAACATCACTCTGAAGACCAATTATTTATATATTATGGCTGTTCTGTTATCTGAGAAAGTGATTAGTGGGTAGATAAGCACTATCTACCTAAAGTATAGTAAGTTGTCTATATATTTTTATGTTGTAGTTAATATCAATTATGGCGTACCTATAAATTTGATACTATTCACCTTTTACCTCAGCAATTAAATTTCTTTCTGTGTTAGTTGTATTAGAAATGGTCATTTAACGTTACATAAATGTAAGTTAAGTCAAATTCACTTAGTATAATACTGATGAGTAACGTTTGATATTATTTATGTATATTATAGTTGAAGACATTATACACTATTGCACAATAGTCACCAATCTTTAAACAATGTCGGCTTCAAGAGGTACAGATGCAACAAGAGTGCTGAGAGGTGTACAAATGGTGTTGGACGAAATAGTTAAGGCCAACGAACACAATTGCAAAAGGAACATGAAAAACTGTAGCATTACAACTGCATTTAAAGATGCTACAATTCAATTTGCTGACAAGATTGGAGCGGCTAAATTAAAAGTAATTCAATGCGATAGTAGCTAGTTCCTAGTAGATATTTTAACAATTATACATCTAAAAATATTTTAGGCATATTATATTCTACGACCTGTAGTATAGATTAAATTGGTCAAAAATATAAATGTTATAGTAAAGTTATAGTATGGTTTAAATTGAAGTGTTATACCTAGGTCATCTAGATATATTGTGGACCAAAAACAAAGAATCAGATATGATAATCGTTGTACCCATTTTGTTGATCAAACAGAATATTGATTCCGCTTTCCTCTAAGCCATCAAGATGCATAACTTGAGAACTACAGCTCTAAACTTTTGAGATTTTTCAAACAATGTATTATTGTAATAATT